CATTTCTAATTAGCATCTATGTTCCCCAAAGCCTTTTATCATTTGAGCAAAGGATCTTTTTGTCAAACTTGTGACTATCATACATTTTTCTGTAAACTTTAAATTTAAAACTGTGTGTAACTTCACGTTCCCTTAAGTCAAGGATGAATATTCCATAACATGTGAAGAAAACATATATTTATTTTCTCATATGTCGAACCTTTTTCAGTATTATACTCAAATATAAGACTTCATCATACTATATTTAAAGTTATATATATATATCAATATACCAGAGAGCCTGATCTTTACATTAAAAAAAAATCACATCACAGGAAACGAAATTTGAGATTAACATTACATGATATTCAAATTTATATAATTTTAATTTCAGCTTCAACATTATTCATTTCCTAGATTAAATCTTAACATGGACTATTTAGATAAAGCCCACCAGCGTCAAGCGGTTAAGTCGCTGAACACTGGTAGTTCGGTCTGAGGTTCGAATCCCTGCGAACAGGCTGGCTGCATGGACGTTTTCATGGTTTTCCCCATGTGTAATGTGTATACAAGCCAGTTTCCCTTAGAAAGTCCTCCATGAAGGCATCCCTCTGCTTAGGCAGATAGCCCTCGAGCTATAAATTGCTATAAATCACATAAACCAAATCAAACCCTGCAAAAAAGTTAGGAAACAGATTATCATTTTAACACAGTAAACTTTTTCTTTGTGATCACTTCTGAAACTGACTACTTCTCCTCAATACACAAATTCTGGTACTGAACATCTTCTTTTTGAAATGACAAGCTTTACACAAAATTAAAATCATGTAGAACTGCTGGTGGTCATCTTAGAGAGTTCACTGTATTTATTAAAGGTCAGAAATTTATTCAACTATTTCTAAAAATGCAAATTAATCAACAAATCTGTACTTTGTTTCTGTAAGCATAATTAATAACAACTTCCTGAGTTTGATTTAGTATGTATGATTACAGTTTTGTTACATTAACGAATGTCATTTGCTTGACAGATATGAAGAATTTCTTTTGAGGAGCTGTTTTGCTTGGAGGGTTGGTTTGGTTTGTTTGATTATGGAAAGCATACAAGGTATATGTGGGAGGTATGTCTTTGTGGAGGATTTTCTAAGGGAAAAACTCTCCACATTACGCATGTGGAAAACCAGGTAAGTGCTCATGCAGCCAGCCTGTCCAACTGAAATCAAACTCAGAGCGAACTATCAGCGTTCCAGTCACTTTACCACTCAGCCGCTGTTGGGCTGTGTGGGGAGGGCCATGAAGGCTAGGTTAGGTTAGGTTAGGTTATTTAATTACGGCAAAGCCTCGAGGGCTATCTGCCTAAGGGGAAGGGATGCCTTCGTGGAGGACTTTCTAAGGGAAACTGGCTCGTATACATGTTACACATGGAGAAAACCACGAAAACACTCATGCAGCCAGCCCATTCACGGGCTTCAAACCTCGAACCGAACTACCAATTTTAAGCGACTTTACCGCTCGGCCGCTGGAGGGCTCGAGGGCCATGAAGGAGAATAATTACATGCACTGAAAACTGAATTCTAAACTAAATGTATAAAGAAAGCAATGGAAATTCACTTATCAACACTAGTTCTTTATTAAATTAAAATACTACTTAAAATAAATTTATAAAGCTATTGAATGGAAATTTTCTGTTAACATATTTCAGACATGTGTAAGGAGTAACAGATTAATTATTTCTAATATTATTACGTAATTTTCTTATAAAGGAATTAAAAAATAAAAACAAACAAAAGCTTCTTTAGAGAAATTATTCTACTATTAAAAATCATATACTACTGGAATTAACATCCCACTTTATCCAAAATTAAATAAATGCATTTTTAAGTGATAAATCAAGTTGTGCAGAAATATTAAATATGAATATATTCATCTTAATTATTTAAAAAAACTGAATGTGAAGATGGGAAAAATTAAGAGAAAAAAGCTTTGTAGATTATTTGCTAGAAATCTGACATTCTGAAAAATGAATACACACACACACTCATATTTATATGCATAAAACACACACATATTGATAGATATAATTCACATATGATTAATTATATATTGAAAATATATGTATGTGAGCATGCGTGTGTATACACACTCACGCATATAGTGAGAAATTTTGTAATGTTTGAGACATAAATTTATATTCCTTCTGGAACAGTAAGGAAATAATACTTTAAAGGAAAATTTAAAAAATAGTGTCACTAGAACAAATTTACGTTGCAAAGTAAAAATGTTTTTCATTCAAACAACGCACTTCCTAACGCCGAATAACAGAATGTAAACAAACGTCAGAAATGTGACATCACTCATGTGGGCGGAGTTAATGGTGATCCTTATCTGGTTTGTCATTGGCCAAACTTAAGCCGTTGTTCTAGCAGTGTACATTTTGCTTATATGCGAACGGGGCCTAATGTACGAGTGTGCTGCAACCCTCCTGGCCTCATGGTTAACGCAGGACACCCAACACATACAAACAAAAATACAGTTAAAAGATTAAAACAAAAATACAGTCAAAAACTTTAAACACATATTCCCAGTACTGTTCTATTGCCATTTATAAAGTTAATCAAATCCTTTGCAAATCTACTCTTTATACCTACCATCGTATAAACGATGATTCTAGTCTTTGTGAAGACTTTATATTCCTCAGATGGTGAGGGAAAGCCTAGCCAAAACGCCAGGATTGCTTCCTATCGAACCCCACCGAGGGGGGGGGGGAGAAGATTTTTATTACAGTAAATTGTAAATATGAGAATTTTAATTTATTTAAATTGGTTGTATTTATTACTTCTCTTTATTTATAGTTGTGTATTTAATTATTCAATCATTTTTAATAACTCACTTTGAAAATTGTTTGCAGGTTATTAATGTTATTTAATTACTTTATTGCTCGTAGACAGAACTCCAGAAATTTCTTTATATACTGTATTAAATAAATCCTTCTAACTTCATTTTATATATACACACGTTTTTGCTTCTTAAACTGAGAATGACGATAAAATGCATCCAATCGATTTTGATTATGCTTTGTTAAAGCAACAGGAATGTAACCCCCCCAAAACCTCAAACGTTTGTCTAAAAGTTATATTACATATACATTAACCCTTTGACTACTAACGGGACATATAAAAGTTTAAAAATTACTGCTGAGTCGAAGATTGCTAAGAATCTCTTGAATGTTGGGGATCATCTGCCAATAGTTGGAAAATCAAGACGCCGCTATGCTCGTTGTACACAAATGAACACAGGGAAAAGAACAAATATGACGCGCAATGTGTAATGTTGGGTTATGTAAAGAATGCTTTACCTCGTACCATACAATGCAAATCTATTTCATATAATAAAGTTTTCCAGGATGATAGGTGTGCTTATAGTAAGTCTATCGCTAAATGTGGGACATATGTATCCGACCATTAACAATGTCCCAGCCCTTGGCTTGAAAACCCTTTGTCGAAAAAATCCCAAATGCTAAATATGCCTTATTTGTGACACATTTTGTTCACTTGGATAAAAAACGGGCTAAACATTTTTTTTTAATTCTTAGTCAAAGAGTTAAATGAAAGAAAATTGGTCTGACAGTTCTTTAGTATTTTAGAATGCTCCTGTTATACCATCATTAAATGATTTAAGGAAAAATTTCGAAGCAATTACATGAACTTGCTGAAGAAATATTTTACCAACTGCACTTAAACACACTTTTCCTTTTATGTTCTGTTCAACTTTCTTCGAATTTTGCACCTGTCTTGTAAATATTAGGTAGTTCAACGTTTTATAATTTTATATTTGTCAAAATCGGGTAATTTCCCATCGTCAATTAGTAGAGTAAATAAAAAAAAATTTGGAGCTTCCAATCGACAAGTAAAATTAATTATTGCTTCTAGCATTTTAAATTTAATTTATTCATTTATAGGTAGTTCTCTTGGTGGTTTAAATTTATTTATTTACTATTAGTTTACCAAAAAAAGATTCATAATTATTTAACGCACATTGGCAACAACAAAAATTAAGTTCTAAGTTTGCGTGCGGTTTCATATAAAAAGTATAGTAAACAAATATATATAATTATATGTCTGTTTGTATATTATGTACATTTCCTTTTCATACATTTTTACCTTTACCTTTTTATCTTCTGTGAATATAATTTTATTCACCTTTTCTTACTTGTTTAATTGTTTTTACAAAGATTGCATTATGTTCATTATTTTTTTCAAAGTTTTACATTGAGTTAATATGATTAAAGGCAAAGGTGTCAAGGGCATTTTTCTCAGGTAAGAAAATACAAATCCTATGTAACACGATTTTGAAATTTATTTCTAAACTCGATCAAACAACCACTTTCTTACTAAATTCTACCACTTCTTCAGCGCTTTTACTTCAATTCATCTCACTTAAACTCTACTTACTTATCTTAAACTTATTTTACTAAAAAAACGTTTTTGGAATAATAATTCTTACTGTAGAAAGACGAAAAACCTTCGCATATATTAATTATTGTTAATTGATCGGAAGTTGGTTTGTTCCTCTTGAAAAGTCAACTAATTTCCGATCAATGACAATAATTATTTAGTTTATTGATTACACTTTTAATTTTAATTATATCTTTTTAAAAGTTTCCATTTTCAATTTTTTCAAGATTCATTTTTGATGTTCCCATTTTAAATTTTTTTTTCGGTATTCAATTTTTAAATGTGAGTTACTTCATTTCAATAGAATCCTTAACTACGTTTATCAAAGGAGATAATAAATAATCCATTAGTAAATAAGTTATTATTTTATTACTTTGCAGTTTTTACGCAAGTATTAGGCAATTTATTAAGATTAATTAAATTGCTTATTTAATTCTTTATATATAGTATATATATATTGGTTATCCCATTATTGTTATAGATGCATAAATATGAATAATACTGCTTTTTATTACTATTTATTTCACTTTAAAAATGCATGAGCTTAACCCTTCACTTTTTTCCTCTTTCTTTCTCCAGAAATTCTATAAATTTACCGAGGTACAGACACAAGATGGGTACTTGATACACATAGTGAATGAAGGAACGCACTGCAGAAGTTTAACACCTTTTCATTAGGGTGAGTACTCACGTGTTTCTAGATCTGTTAGAAAATAAACGCAGCAATTTGTGAATTTTGAAGTGTTGCATTTTCTTCTATTGGTTAAAAAGGAAAGGATCTGAAAATTGCACAACAGAACATCTTACTTACCACCAGCTGAGTTGCTGTACCGCCTGTTATATGACTATGAACATTTGTACTCAGTTGGTGGAGCATGCTGTTGTCGCTAGACCTAGTCAAACATCTCTATAGAATATTAAAATTTGCAGCGAAATTTATAAAGTTACTTCGGAAGATGGGTATTTGTGACCTGCGGTTATTAAAGAGATCATGTCAAGACTTTGCCTAATGACGATTTTGGCGATGTTTTACGCATTGTGATTCTGAGTTTACACAGAATGTTTACTCTAGAAGTCGGCGGTAACTTGGATATAAGAAGTTGTGCATTTCTGGGTCTGATCCTAGTACACGGTTAGGGACGTAGCTGCACAGGGGGCAAGGAGGGCATTTGTTTCCTGGTGCAGCTTCCAGTGAGGGCCAAATTGATGTTATGAATTTTTAGAATGAAATGTTTTCCTTTCTTGGCAAAAGGGAGGGGGGATCCTCAGTTGTTTCCGGGCGTTCAAAACCGTAGCTACGGCTCTGTACACGGTACACATGGGATTTGGCAACTTGTAATGTATCGTATGGGTTCAAACATGTCATTTTGGTGTTAACAATTTTCAAAATAGCGTCAAGGCCGTGCTGTATACTAAGATTTTACGGAGCATCTTTTTGCATTCTTGTTTCGAATGTTCAGTTATCTCAAAAAGAGGTTATTATAGATGAAATATTCCAATATTAAGAAATTTGACATTAATTCATATTTCGAGTATTGTTTTTATTTATGTATTTATCTTCCTCTCGTATTTTTCCTTCAGTTTGTTAAACCTTTGATTTGAAACTTTTGATTTATTTATGTAATCCTTATCCCCATACACAAGCATATAGACGAGAACGAGCAGTTTCTTCAATTTCCCGGATTGGTATTTTTTGAAGATGCAATTTCAAAGCCTTTTATTTAAACTGGAAGAAAAGGAGATGGTGTTCCCCTCCTATTGAAATAATACAAAAGGAAACGGAATCTCGGGGAATAGCATATCGCGTATTGCTCACCTGGGCAAACATTAGTTCCTTTTTTAATCTAGTGGATTACATGGTAAACGCAGAATAGTAAAACAGTATAGTCAGCAGAATAAGAATTGTAAATTGCTCGGTAGAGATGGAAAAACACAGTAGACATAGAAAATAAAGATAATACTTGTACGAAGTAAAGGAAGCATTGTAATTGTGAAAAATTTCGGAAATCTTATATTCTTTTCCCGGGGGCTGGGAACATATATGTCTCATGCATTGACTACCTTAAATAAGGCTCAAGGACTTTACAAGACCACTTTAGAGACTTAAAAATTGCTGAATAAAGTGGAATGGAATGCAGAAAAACCTATCGCATCGTTTTTCTTTAGTTTCCTGCCTCAGTACTCGTTTAAATGGCGGAGATGAATGGAAGATTAATGTCTACAGTCCACGGGAAAAGGTTAAGAGAAATGTACATTTTGACAGTTCCCTAATTCTTTCGGACGATATTTTTGCGTGATATCTGTACGTACAGAATAAAGAACTTCCTCCCCCCCCCAAAGTTAACTGTAAAGGTGATTTAAATGGTTGTTTGCGCTACGTCTGTACGTATCTTCTATAACTCAGAAACAATGCATATATGCATGTATCTTCTATAAATCAAAAACGATTAGTTTTAGAACGTTGGGACTGCTTTAACATCTAGTTGAGCACCTCCCTTTTTATTGCAATCGACAGTACCAAACAAACACACACACATATACTATATATATGCAAGAAAAAAGATATGTAAATCAGCTTTATAATGTAATATAGCAATCAATAGACTCTTAATTTTTGGTTTTTAATGTTTATATTTCCCTTCTGTAGTCTAAAAATAGTAATAACTTTTCTGGACTGCTGCTTTTCTAGATCACATGGCTTGCGTAACGCTGAGTAGGTAATTCGGAACTTGAACTCAAAATTTCGATAAGTGAAACCTTTCTCTTAATAAGCAACCAAAACCTTCTCTTCGTGAGCCTCCATATTAAATAATTGTAGCCGAATAAGATTAAATATTCAACCTTATTTCAATTCATATTTGCAGCCACAATTTACTTGGCACTCTAATTGTGCCTTAAATGAGACATTTACATTTTCGACACTGTTGCGGTAGAAAAGAGCAGGGCAAAATAGCGTCCAAGCGGCAAAAGAGGTAGAAGCAAAAATGCTCAGTTAATCCAATATGGAGGTTCACAAAGAGAGAAGGTTTGTGTTTAAACTGCTTATTAAAAGAAAAGTTTCAGTTCTTGAAATTTTCAACTCAGGCTCCGAATTATCTACGTCATCAGCATTACGCTAGCAATGTAACATAGATTGATCTAGAGATGATGGAATTTAGGAAAGTTATTATTATTACTATTTTTAAAATACAGAGAGGAAATACCAAATTAAATATGAGGAATTGAGAGGCTATTGCTATATTACATTATAAAGCTGATTTACATATTTTTATCTTACAAACATACAAATATGTATATATTTTTATAGTCTTCTTCGCTTTTTATTTTAATTTTGATTTTTTTTTTTTAATTTAATTTTTTAGTTACGTTCACAAAGTTTAAACTCTATAAGCTAGTAGGTCCTCCCTTAAAATCTTGTAATTTTGACTAATAGCAAATCGTTTTTTATTTTATTTTGTCCATTGGCATAACCAGACCATTATGTATAGTTTTTTCTTACACCTTAAAGTGTTTTTTCAAGCGGACGCGTCGGGAAATGGAACAGAAAATTGAGACTAAAGTTTATGACTAACTTTTTTCAATTAATATTCAAAAAGAGTTTCGTATACAGTTTCAATTGTCTGTTTCGACGAAACGCTATATGGAATTAGCTGGATTCGAAAATCATTATAAAAATTTCCCCTGAAGCGTCAGTAATGAGATTCGAATTGGGCTAATCTACCATTTACCGCTTTTTTATTTTTGTGTTTTTGCTTAAGTCTTATGTCACACTTTTATTCTATTGTTTAAAGTTTGCCTTACCTTGATCAGCATATTACTTACAATTAGTTTTGAATTTTCTTTGTAAATATGCTAGTGTTAATATTGTTTATTTAATGTTTACACTTTTCATTGCCCTTTATTTTACTTATTTTAAAATTGTCACCGGAACCACAGTATCTAAGCTACTTTTTAGCGTTGGCACTAAGAATTTTCTTTTAATTTGTTTTCTAAATTTTGGAGCTCAATGCGCAAAGTACTTAACAACAAAGGTCTCTTTTAGTTTGTTCTCTTTTCTTTAATTATCAAATATGTATATATATACACACACACATACCCCCTTTATCCGGCCTTTATTTTCGCAATCCTTGGTAGTAGTCATTTAAAATATGAGTTCGTCATTTAGAACATTTTTGTAATTCCAATTACAAAAATATTTTAAATGACGAAAATAATCCTTTATCGCCAATGTCAAATATTTAAAAAAAATAGTTTTAACCATACAGCGTAATCTAATTTTTAATGCGCTGTCTCATTTTCTATATTTATATTCGGGAAAGTTTTATAATTGCTATGAAAAAATAAAATTGTAAAAAGTTTGTCCCCCGTACGACTGACATCGACCAGGATATTTTATTTAAAAAATTTGCTATTCTTAATGTCATTTTCAATTTCCCTCGAGGAATCGGTTAAATAAGTTATGATAATTCCAGGAAATACGTTTAAAGCAAAAGCAGCAAAAAATGTGTATAATTTAATAGGCAGTACAAGGAATCATGTGTATCCATATCAGTTATTTTAAATATGTGTTTATAGACCTCTTAATAACATTTTATACTTCATCGGAAAAGCATTCTTTCTCCTCCTAAAAAAAGAAAAAAATTATGCAAGGCTAAAATGCTACCCCACTATTTTTTTTTTTTTTTTTTTTCCTTTTTTCATTTCTTTTCGCTGGGCTCATCTTATCTTCAGTCATTATTTCCCCGAATATTTTGAGTCATTCAGTGTAATTTTTGAAAAAAAACGTGCTTTCAGCTTAAGTGAGTGAGTATGATTTCTAACATTTTTAGAGCAATGACATTTATAGTTATACGCAGAACTTAAATTGCAATATGCTGAAATGAATGGCGCTAGGTCCACGACAAGACAGTTTAGAAATGGAAGAAGTTTGATTAGCTAATAAAACAGAATTTTTTTTGACCAAGAATGATTTCAAAAAGAAAAATTTTCGTTGACTCGAAACGAAGTAGCCAGAGATTGCTTGTGAAGTATTAAATTATGTTACTTCATAAAATGAATAACAATAATATAAAAAATAATTTTGAAAACTATAATTAACACTGATATTAATGAATCTACTCATACACTCATTTTAATCTCATAAATTCTTTTGCCTTTTGACAAAAACTAGAATACACAGCATAGTTTTCCCTCTGTCGAAATTTAATTGTCGTAAAAAGGGGGTGAGTAAATACAGTAGATTATATTCCTCACTGCGAAAGGTGAAGCACAATTTTGATTTAATAGATTTGTTTGGAAATGAGTCCTGCTTTTGCCAACTAATACCCCACTGTAAACTTTATTCGGCTAAATCATTTGCCATTCCGTAGTGTCTCTCCTCCCGAAAAAAAGGGGGCGACGCTGAAAGTTTTCAGATTTTATATTACGCCCGAAGGTGGTTTTATTTTTATTTTTTTTTTTTTAACTTTTTGTGTGTTACCTTTATTTATTAAATATCATGTTCTTCGCACTTAAACCATAAAATTCAATTCAACAGCAATATCACAAAATAATTTAAAAAGAGCTTATCTTTAGAATTTCCAATACACAGTCTCGCGCGCTGGAGGTAAATTTTTTTTTTTTTTTTTTTTTTTTTTTTCGTACAATGTTGCCATTGCTGGCTTCGAAATTGTTGAGTTT